CATTTCACTCGGCCGGGCGGATACGACATGCGCGGCAAAACCCGAGAATTTTTTTTTTTTTTAAAGTATCAATAATATGAAGAAAAAAAAAATGACAAAAATCGCCGGTTTTCGTATATCACACACACACACACACACAAACGTACACGACCGGAAGTGTAGTGTCGTCGGATGAGGACACGCGCGCTTTAGCAGGAATATTAATATTATTATTATTGTCTACACACACACACACACGGACAAACAGACACGGTGGTCGCAGCGAGACTACTACTACCGTGTGTGCGGCGAATACACCACGACGACGGCGGCCACGGCGGCGGCGTCCTCTGCTTCTCCCCCCCCCCACCCCGCCCCATTCTCCTCGCCCACCCGCCCACCCGACGTCCCCTGGCCGCCGACGAATTACCTGTGCGAGGTAGGGCCACACGGACTCGGATCGTCGTTGGTCCCCCACCGCCGCTTTACGAGGGGGGACCCGGGGAGGGGGGCTCGCATTATGTCTAAAGTGATGTGTACCTATAATATATATATATATATATATATTGTAAATATTCAAATCGTACCGTAGACAACAACCGTAACACAACGCAGTATATATTATATATATATAATAATATTATAATAATATAGTGGATAAACAATGATAATATTTTTCACGTTCCGGAACAATAGCTGTGACAGTAGTTTTACAATAATAACAATAAAAAAATATATATACATACATACATACATACATACACATACATACATACTTACGCCGCTTTATTACGAAAATTATTTATCATTATATATTTACAGATATATATGTATATTGTAGAATACATTAAAAATCGTCTATTTGGTGTACGGCGACGACAACATCAACAACAACAACAACAACAAGCCAACAACAACGACAGGATTGAAGCTAACAACTGGACTGAAAATTCAAAATTCTAAAGACAATAGTGACAAATCGAATTCAACATATTATTATAACTTAACCGTTAATATTTTTTGACATGGATGAATAGTCTTATGGCTGAGAGTCATTTTGAAAATAAAGTTATCCACACTTCATGCGGATACATCAAGTTGCAGGGTATATAAGGATATATAAGGATATATTAAGGATATAATGATATAACCACGGAAATTGATTTATGAGAAATGTTAAATATTGATAAATATAGCCAGTAGTTAAGTAATTTTATAATATAGTAAAAAAAAAACAAAACGGTCTACAAGGAGAAACACTACAAAATTGAAATTATCTCAAGTCACATTGAGTGTGTTGTCCTTAGTGAATCATCCTGTAACTGCTTTGGGATGGTATTGTAGAGAGCTCGAAAAAAGTATAATTCAACTAATCCAAATCATATCCTTCCATAAGGTCACCTATTTGGGTAATTTCAGGTTTTCTCTATACGTCAACTATTCCACAGAAATTTCCTGTATTTCACGTACAAATTTAATTGAATTAGTTTCAAACCAATGGGTTAATGGGTTACAATACACGACACCAAAAAACTTTACAAGTAAGTTTAAATAGCGTCCCAATTTATATTATTAATTGTTAATCTTATGTTAAAAAAAAAAAAAACGTTAAAAATAATTACAACGGTTAGGTTACGTAAGGTTTCGTTAAATATTAAAATTCAAACCTTGGATCATTTTTAACCTTGGAAATGTTGTTTGTATTAGAATACCTAATTTGTATTTAAATTTAAATTCAAATTAAATTTAAGTGATAATTTTATTTTAATTACCTCTTTAACTATCAAGTGCGGTTTACTTAATAATTAAGTAATCCTATATTTATACAAACATACATAATTATTGTTTTTAGCATATTTTACAGTTGAAGCGTGTGAATGCACAAATGAAATGTAGTATCTGCACTTTCTCACCGCCAGTTCATACTTAAGCTCAACCCACGAGAGAAGAACTGGTTATCGAACGGTCAGTTGTTTTTTCACAATCCTGCTTTTGATAGGTAAACACCACAATGTCCATATCAAGTTTTACCACCCCTCAACATTACCCTTTTTAAATCAAATTTAACTTATAATTTTCTACCATTATTATTATAATTTTTATAACTTTCATGACTGCGGAAAGTCAACGTGGGGATAAAAAAATACTTAAACGAGGAATTATGCAATTGAACGCCTTTTACCCCTCAGATACAGGGTGGATATCATTATATGTTGATCTTTTCAGGCGTTTGCATCATAAATACAAGCACCGTGTAAATCGTACAATACAATACACATATTATTATTATATGAAGTGCCGGTGTCGTTGTTGGTAATGTAGAACGTGCTCGAGTTCTTTTCATAAAATCTATTATTATTATTACTATTATAGGCCGCAACCCCCGCCGCACTCGAAAAGAACCTAAGACGTCCTGAAAGCAGCAGCAGCAGCCGCCGGAATTAAGTAAATACCTTTATACTATTTCTAAAAAAAAAAAAAAATAGTATATATTGTACACCTATAGGTAGGTGTACGATATTGTTTTGTCTTCGGGAAAAAGACGGGCAAAACTAATAGAACCGAACCGGAAACAAAGACAATTGATTTGCCGGGTCGATTGATTTCCAGTTGATGAGAGTACATTATTTTCTAGTGGAAACAAAAATAAAAAAATGGTCTAGAAAATAAATAATTAGCTAGTTATACAAACTAAGACGACACGGACAAAAAAAAAAAACAAATAAAATAATTTCTTCTGTGAAATCATCGTTTTTTTTTTTTCATTCGCACCGTTTTTCAAAGTAGTTTTAAATAAGTGAAAAATGACAATTATTTTGTACTTTTAAATAATTACCGTTTATCATGTTTGCTCTAAATAAAATCAGTAAAACTATCGGAATGCAAAATAATGTACATTTTCACTGAGTCACCTAAGCGGAGGCCCAAGTGTATAATACAACATGTAAAAAACAGATGCTAATGGGTACTTAAACAGTGGCAAAACTAAGAAAAGTGACCAAGTCGCAGCCCTGTTAAACCGGATCTAACCGAACCTAACCAAACCTAATCAAACCAAACCAAACCTAACCTGTAACTGCTTTGTAGTAATACCTATAAGCTGCCGATAGCTCGAAAAAATGTAACTAAATTCTAAACGAACCCCCAAACCGTATTATACCTTGGCTATTTCTCCTTATCCCTGCCCTTTGTGTGTCACGCAAATTTTCGACAGACCCTCAACCCCGTCGTAGTAAGACGTTCGTGTCAAAAGAAGAACAAAAAAAAAAAAAAAAATCTTCTCGGTTTCTTGTGCGCGACCGCCACACCCAACGCATGCAGTGTTCAATGGGGTTTTTCTTTTCACCGGGCTAGAGAGGTCTAGACCTAACCGGATGTGCGACCTTAGGGGCGATGGTGGGCGTGTAAGTACTACTACTAGTAGTAGCGGTATAGTTTTATTGCACGCGCGCAATTATTATTCTTTTTTAGCCCGTGCCTATTCTCTTCTCTCGATATATAATATAATAAACTATACATGTAAGGGGCACGAAACTTGAGACGAAAGGCGTACCTACCTACCTACCTACCTACCTTGGCTACCCCTATTCACAGATGTGTGTGTGTGTGTGTACGCTTGTTGCTTTACCATTCATACAATATATAATATTATATACAAGTTCTTTTGGGCCGCGCGCGCGCGCCACCACCGACGAGCAGCACCTGGAACCACCTCTAACCGGGACGCAGCTGCTCATAGATTTCTTAAAGACACACACACACACACACAACCGGAACTACCGGTATGTTTAAGATAGGCGGTACACGACGTTGTTAAACAATAAAATATTATATTATACATACATGCAGAGCTAAGGTTTCTTTTCGGTCGCGGTCGCGTTCCGGGGGCGTTTTCGTATCGTACGAGAGCTATTTGTACGGTATAACATACTCGAATAAAAAATATATAGCGCACATACTCGAATAAAAAAATAATAGGTTACCCATATTTTGTGCAAATGTTTTGAACATTACACCTAAAAAGTTGGGTAGAGATAAATTGTGTACACCAATAGTTCAGCGATGCAGAGAATTGTTTCCTCCGAGTTGAACAGTGTTTTTGGTTAGTTTACACTCTCAGCAATATTCTGCTGGTCGTTTAGAGCTTCCTTCGTCGTTTTATGTGCCTATTTGTGGTCTACGCTGTTATGATTTATCTCTTGCAAGGTATCAAAGGTTTGACATTTGTCAGAAGCCCAGAAGAGAAGTTGAGCACTCTCCAAAACCGAAGAGTAGGTACTCTTATGTTCGCTGTCTACATCAGAAGACCATCATCATCATCGGCTAATATATGATAGTAATAATACTAAATACCGCTAATAATAATAATAAATAATAATAGCTACTCGTGCGGACTACACACAATGAGCGTCAAGTGCTCGGGAAAAAATAAGTACTTTGCCCCGCGTTTCATACGGAGCGTCGCACAGGTAAAAATGGGGTGTTTTTTTTTAATATTATTAAATAGTACGACTCCCCGCAGAGCCCCGCCGGGGGGGATCTCGGGGATAAATATTTTGATCAGCATACGTCTTGGTACAATACACGGTCAGCGGGCGGCGATGAAACTTACATTATATTATACATCATAGACAACGGCGGTTAACTCCGGCACAATATAATATATTTAGTATTTATACATGTATGATATACATGACAATGGACCGCAGCAGTTTAAGCCGTCTCGTCCAATTAAACGATATCGTGTACCTACACCACGGCGGCAGTAGAGTATATTATTATTGTTGATGTGCATTTAATCGTTTGCACATCGTTGAAATATTGTATAATACAGTTTTTAATACCGTTTTTATTGGACGTGCGCCACTAGGTCCACCACCCTCGGTATCCTAAATACCGTGTCTGTTTTCAATACTGGCAATTTTACAGTTGCACGACAACCGAGACTCGGAGCGTCTTCAGAGTTTTGCCCATCTCCTCATCGGGTATGGAAAATATTTTACACAAATTACTACACTTACCGGCCGTGACGTTTTGACTGGCACCGCCACCACCACCACCACCACCACACCGGTACTGATTGGGCGGACGGTTCTGCTGGTTTCGGGCGCCTTTCCTGGCCGGCGGTTGCTGCAATCGAATCCTCTCCGTGCAAGCCGGATAACCGCCGTTTTCCGACTTGTTGTTGCCGTAGTCGGCCGGGGCGTACACCCCACCGTTGGCGGGTATGCCTTGCGAACCGGCGGGCATGGTAAAGCCGGCCGCCACGTTCGAGGCGGGTCTGTCGACTTCTGCAAAGCACAAGAAAAGGCAAGCGTTAAGAGAAAGGTTAAACGATAAACATCGCGGACAAAACAATAACTGTTCACAAAAACGGTAGCCTCCTACTACGGGCAATACGCTTTCCATGTATATTGAGTTCAACGGGGCTATTGCTTATGTCTACACCTAACCCGTCTGCCGTCAAAGCCAAACTCTGTACACGTTAAACGTTGGCGACGACGAATCAGATTGGTTTAACCTGACCTGACCTAACCGAACTCGTACGACTCTAACCTCGACCTGTCAGCTGTCTTAGTCCAATCCAAAACCGAGACCCTACCGAGCCTAAACCAAACCTGACACTGATCTGATTTTGTGAAGGAACGCTTTTCGGAAAATTGGCGGTTGTCATTTTACATTTTTTTTTTTGGAACATGGGTCCGGGGGTCTCGGGGTAGGGAGGCTATACACAGGTGTGGGATTTGCCCACAGAAGTGCACTTGTGACGTAGACGACATCCTCGGGCACTTGCCTACGTCATGTGCAGGGGGCGACCAGCGAGATGCAACTGCAGCGCGCCGGGCAGGATATCCTTTGAATGTAAACACAGCGGCGGTCGTGACGTATCGAGCGCGCCGGGTACGCAGGATATCCTTTGACCGAGGCCAAGGCTGACTCGGCCAAAGGATATCCTGCTTATATTATTATAATAAATAGTTTTCCTGTTTTTCTACACCTATTACTAAACACTGTTGTACACCGGCCGCCGGCTCAACGTTATCGTTATGTTCGGCCGTTCAGTACGGTTCTGCGTTCACGACGGCACGGTTGCAATGTTGAATTTTTATTTTTCGCGAGCGTGTGTGTTTTTTAGTAGGTAAATTTAAAAAAATAATAATAATATATTATTCCACGATGATAATTATATTTTGTGCGTGGTTTTTATAATGTTGAAATTATTATGCGCTATCTGTGTATCTTGCCGCCGCCGCCGCCGTCCGACCTCGGTCTCGAAGATAATGCCTACACGTCTTCTGCTATCAGCTATCGTGCGGTGATAATAAACGATAATAATATTATATACCAATACAGTCGAATATTATAATATATTGTTGTTGTTTTTTTTTTTTTTTCTAATCTTGACGCACAAACGTTGTTGTTTTACACATACATATAATTTTTTATTTTCGTTCTACGAAACGCGCGCACGTTGATAACGGATAACGTTATCATTGGTGACAAACGATAATAATATATACATATTATAGTAGAATAATAATATTATTTTATTCCAGATTAAACGAGTTATTCGAATTTGTCTGGTTTTTGTATAATATTATATACTTTTTTCGCTCTCTTGGCGGTTTATTACAAAACGAAAATAATGGAGAAAAAAAAAACAATGGTACATCACATGTAAACGACCGGAACTATGGTACACCGAGCAGCAGGAATTTCTGTAACAATCGTCGTGCCCACTACACAATATATAATAATATATAATATACCTACTTGTATTTACAACGGGTAAATCTAGGATGGCGCAGGCCACGTGTGTCCCGAATATACAATTTGCATTTGCAGCGATTGAAACTATTGGTTTATACCGGATCTCTATGAACTTTTACATACTTCTAGGGGAAGAACTTGTTGGTAACAAATAGAGAAGAAACAATAAGGCGTCGAAGCGCGACGGCGGTGATGGGAATTTTCAAAAGTAAGTAAAATCGAAATGTTTACTTTATAGACTTTAAACGATTTAACACGTTCTCGCTCGATAAAATTAGCATGTACAGTGGCCATTGTTGGTCCCAAGACACGAGAGAAATAATACTTTGGTTTTTACTAAAATGGGAGAAAAGAGAAACCCCCGAAACACCCTAGATTTGTTGTAATATTACTTGTTATCGCAAACAATGTAAAAAATCAAACTGTCACCAGCGTTATGCTTAAGAAATTAAAAAAAAAAAACACTTCATCTCTATCCGTCAGATTTACATATAATGGGTCATTCCTTGTTTACTTCATCATCGCATACAAGCTAGTACAGCAGGTTGAGTCATTAAGGATAAGACAATCAATATATCTGAAAATAATATTGCAGTGACTGTTCCATAACGAGTCTCGATTTAAAAAGCTATTCAATAAAGCTGACATTTTTTTAGGAGTCTGAACGAGGAGTTTAGAACGATTTGGAACTACCCCTTCTAGTTTTGCCATTATTTTAATAGATATCAAGTGTCTCCTGTCCTCGACAGAATTATCCTGTATATTATGCTACGCTACGTTAGTCGGTATCTTTATATTACTACTATATATATATATATACTCTAATCGTGTTTACCTCTGATCATGTGCTCCAAGTGTTCCCACAATATGTCTCCTAGGTTCGGCCGGGCTTCGGACACGAATCGCTCGCGGCCCATCGCCAAAAGTTCTGCGCCCATTTTGCAGTAGAGCTGATTTTTCTTCTTGCCATCGTCCACCAGCACCACGTTGTCGTCGTAGTCGTCTCCTTCTTGTTTGATGTCTTCGGCCGCGATCGGCCCCCCGCTGCTGCTGTCGCCGTCGTCGCTGTCGCTGGTGTAAGTGCTGCTGTTGCTCCTCAGCCGACGCCTGGGCTTTTGCCGGACCCTCTGCTGGCCCCTTTGCTGCTGTTGCTGTTGCTGCTGCTGCTGCTGCTGCTGTTGACCAAAGCGCGCCTTCAGAGGCGGCATGGCGAAAAACGATCCGAAGCCCAGCTTCCTGACCATTGGCGTTAACGGTTCGTCGGCGAACTCGCTGTAAGCCCACCGGAACCACTCGGCTGTGTGCGCGGCCGTCCACTGTCGAGGATCTACACGAATGAAATAAAATCAATTAAAAAAAAAAATCAATAAACAAACAACCCATACACAAAGTAAGTACAACGTTCTTTTACCTCTGTCCGAGTACACCCCCGCTGCTATGTAGAAAACACAAATAACGGCCATTTCAATACAAACATATCATATAAATACAATTATTACTATCTGTACACATTGAGTCTAAAAGGGTCGATCGCACATCCACGAGGCTCTGTGGAAGCTCTGGCGTTTTTTTTTTTACAGTGTACATATTGTGTAAGAGCGTTTTAGTTTTCATGTTTAGTGGATTGTGCCGAAAATTGACCCTTTTACACCAAACGTTCAGCGTTGATTTTAAAACACACAGATAAGCGGACTAAGAATGACCATTCATCCGGGTGCATTGTCAGGAATTGAGACCTAGGATAGTGGCTTTATTGTACGCCATAGGACCAGACTGTATGGATTTGTATAGGATTAGATTTTAGGAGAGAAAGAGTTTATCGATAGGTCTAAGGCAATGAAGCCGTTAGTCAGTTCTATATGTGAGTTCCAAGTGTGTCCAGTATGTCCCAACTCAGGCCGAGGTACTCAAATGCATTAGCTGTGGGAAGGATTTTGGTTGTTAACTTTTAATTGCCAACGATCTGAAGTGGTCTAGTGTATATATATAATTCGGCTGGCTACAATAGGATTTTGGCGAGAAGCTGTTTTAAGGAGTGCATGAGAAGCCTCTGGCATATCTTGGGTAAATATTGAACAGACGGATAAACGAAGAGATTTGTAGGTAATAATTTTAAGATCGTCGGTAGGTAATATACACAAAAGTAAATCTCCACCAAAAAAAAAAAAAAAAACACTCTCACTGGCACAAACAAAACGCATAACCCGTTTAGCTTATTACAATAATAATATTGTACAATATACATAATAACATTAATGTGTGTGTATTATATTATTATGTTGCACCGCCGTCACGCTTTCCCCCTCGTGTTATGTAAAAAATAAAAAAAAGCAATTTGAATAGAACTTCTCGAAAACCAGTTGATATCGTCTTATGTACATACAAAATAATACGGTTTTGCTTATTGTAAGTACACCGTCCATTGTCTATTGCCACGCGTGGAACGGCCATTGCGGTCTTGCTTTGTATACACACACGGGCACATTAAAATATATTATTTGATCAGCAACAAAATCCGTTAATCGGTTTTTTAGAAATGTGAGTGGCCAAAGGAAAATTGAAAAAAAATTTTAAATTCCTAATTTGTTTAGATTTTCGACAAGCTCTTATGAATGATGAGCTGACAATCCACTCTTTCTATCTCTTATAGTTATCTACCTGTCTTACAAACCTAAGACGAATATCTTTTCACTATTGGCGTGTAGCATTTTATGTTTGGTTTTCTCTATTCAAGGCAAGCCATCTTAGAGGCTATCGACATGAACGTTTTTGTTTATTTCTTCAATTACACCTTTTTATTTGGTTTTTAATCGAGGAAGTAAAATTAAATAAATGTATACAAAACGTTTTGCGGTGACATCGTCTGTAATAATAATATAGTGACCATTGCCCGAGACCGTGGGAAAATAAGTAAGTATATATAATGTTATATACTTAAAAAAACAAAATACACGCCTGTCAGTGTTCACACGGTCATAGGCCGTATAGAGAAGTAATTAACCGTACACACACACACACCATACAGTCATCTCTGTACAAACATATTTGTACTCGCACACCTATATTTAATAATCGCCGCACCCAAATACACCTATATATATATATATATATATATATATATATTATAAAAAGATAATTGTCCGTTTGAGCATAGGCTACGACGCAAACACATATAGGTGGTATCCAGCAGAAGAAAAAGTATTGGAAGTACACAGCGATATAAGTTATACAATAGTATACTAAAAAAGAAGTGTTTGAAATAGTTTCACACTAAAAAAAAAAAAAAAAAAATAGTCGCGCCAAAGACTTGGCGCGTTATTTGTCCAACAACGACACATACTCGCGAACCGTGGGAATTATATACATATATTATACTTGTGCTAAGACGTTTTACGGTAATTTTTTATATACCGTCCACGCGAGTAGATACGATAGTAATATAATAATAATTAATAAAATAAACGGCGTATTTGGCGGTGGTAAAAGACGGAATAAAGACTATAGTGATTTGGTTATTATTACAACAATAAGCTTAAGCATAGAACACTCGTAGCACATAACCCTATCCTAACTGGGTTAAACAAATTTAGCATCACATTCCATATCCATTCCCCGCGGGTCACATGATCACGTCCCACGATGGCACCTTTTACTCTGTGTACATATTGTATAATCTTTAAGATTCATCTCCTACCGGCCGATGCGTTCATCAATAACATCTTATCACTTATCCAGGGCCCAACCAGGTTGACCCTAACCTTAACGCCTTACGATTGGTCGTTGTCTCTCGAATCACGGATAGGAGCGCTAGCAGTCAATCGAAACAGATTTCCTGGTCGGCTGACGCTCTTACGGATAATAATATGTTATCACTTGACCGGGGACGCGAGGAGTACACATCTTTAAGATGCGACCATATGAAAAGGGGGCCGCCCTACGGATTTTGTATTATTATTATTATTTTTTTTTTTTTGAAAACAATTTAAATACCTTTTGGCACTCGGAGACTGTGTCGTACGCTTTCCCACAGGGCGAACATGCCCTGCAGCACTTCGGTCATGGTTCGGTTCGTGCCCGGAGTCAACGGGGTCATAGGCACGCCGGGAGTCAGCGGTATAGGCGGCACCAATTGCTGTTGATTGCCTGCTGCTGCTGCTGCTGCTGTTCGGATGGGCAGCACCACCACCGGCGGTGGCCGAAGACGGTAGCAGATGAACGGGAGCTTGATCTGCAAACACAACAACATAATGCCGATGTAATAATAATTGTGCATAATATCAGACACGTATAATAATAATGTGTTTTAACGTTTTTTTTTTTTTTTGTATGCGCAAACGACCGTTGGGGCACGGTGAAAAAGATTTCGGTTCAACCGCCGTGCTGCGATTAAACGACCATCGCCAGCGAAATGCGCAGCCTTGAATATTATATAGTGGTTTTTTTTTTTTTTTTTTGTTCACGTTGTCGGCCGGCTCTTCAGATTAAATATTATATTATTTAATAACGGCAAGTCCTATACTCGGTGTATAATAAAATACACCGTGTACACGTCGTCGTTACCGTCGTTCTCAATTGGACAGGGCTTTTGTTAACTTATTAAACGGCTCACAAGGCCTGACGTACAATGTGATGCGTTCGATTCATTCCCCTTGCATAGCTTTAGAACAACACGCTGGCAGTAAAAACACATGGAACGGGATCAGCCTTCGGAAGCGGCCAACAGTGCATATTTTAATATAATTAAAGAGACGCTCCACTGAAAGGGTATATCACGAGTAAAGTAAAAGTCATATATAGTTTGGTTTTGCCCATGAAAAAAAAAAAACCTGCAATCCGGAAAACGTTTTCTGCATACGGCGGCCACGCGGTGAAAGTATGTAAAGGAAATATTATGAAAATGTCAAACGCAGCGGAAAGCAATTAGCCGCGAGCAAATGTATTGTCATGACAGATTTTTTAGATAGGTAAATACCTACTTATTTTGCTATCTATTATAGAGTTGAGCGTTGACTAATGTTTAACAAGCACAAGCAGATAACGATGGTAAATAATATGTTGAGCAACAATTATAACATTGTTTTGCTTTTTTTTTTTTTTTTTAATAACTACAACGACCACAGCAAACGTACTCACCACCCCCGGGGTTTAAGTTTAATACAAAACTGTTTTTATTTTTGTTATACCTGTTTCGACCCCCCCCCCCCTCCCACTCTATTTAACCGATAGTTTTTAATGAACAATGAATGTGAAACTAATATTACAAGGGCATTCCAGTACAGAGTTTGTTTATTATCTTTTTTGCCAATTCTAATTGTTTGACAAATAACAATGTGTTTATTTTTTCTAAATTTAAATTCAAAACGAACGAGTCCTTATGCCAACACTGCCACGCGGAGGGAGAGGGGATTTTCAAGCATGTATCTATATTTTTGTTTGACCTTATCGGATATAATGCGCCATAATGCGGATTACTAGTGATGGTATTTCGTTTTATTGAAATCTGCAATCCCCTAACAAAGCAACTGTGCTCGACCTCCCTGGCTAACTTGTATACAGGGGGAAAATAAATAGAAATAAAAATCATTTTTTAATTTCCTAGCCCTGCTGAGCTTTGCCAAACGATAATTTCACGTCATGTTTCAACTTTTATCACATTTGCACACAAACCGTATGGATTGTAAATATATTTCTCTGATAATAGGATGGGGGGGGGGGAAGGAAATATGTCAGGTAAAATTATTTGTATACCAGACAAACGTCTCGAGTACAATATAATAGACTTGTAATTCGAATAATCCGGGTGTTTAGAATATTCGAATATAGTGCATGTGTGTGTGTGTACCTCCTATACCTGTATTATAATTTATGATGATGATATTCGGGTATAGGTGTGTTCCTATCGAATGTCGGACAGGTAAAAACGGGGATCTCCGGGTTTACATAATAATATGTATGATACAATATGTATCCAAGTAGTATTTTTTTTTATCTTCTACACAATGATGCCATTGGACGGGGCGTGGACGGATCACACAGGTGGGCCGTGCCGTGATTCACACGCACCCATCGCCGCGTTTCCCCGGTAGACAAAAATACAAAAAAACCTCAGCCTACCTGGTGATGACGATATTGAGATATTTTATTCTGTACAACCGAGATACATAATAATTTAATATCATTTTTTAACCTCATCCACCCGGGCAAAGACGACGGCGGTTTTTTTTTTAACTCTTGTGGCCCCTAGCTAGCTAGTGTACACACTAATACACTATAGCAGAAGCACCATTGTCTAGCGTCGTATCAATTTATACAAATTATAATACACAAACTCCACAACATCACATACTTGACGCGCCGGGCACTACTATATATATATATGTATATATATATAGTTATACGGTAGGAACAAAACCGATTAACAAGTAAATTGAACTAAATACTCGGGCTATTATGAGGAATAACGTTAGATGCGGGTCACGACCCACACACTGTGATTAACACACACACACACACAGAGGATAATAAATAATATTAAAGCCAGCTAGACGTTGTCGATGGAGACATTATAACCAGTTAGTGCCAGAAGAGTGCAAGTACAAAATTTGTACTGTTTATACACACTAACCGCCCCGATGATCTCCAGAGGTCATAGACAATCATCGTGCTGGGGACCCCGTATGTAATACCGTCCAAAACATATTTATTACTATAATAATATTTATACTTTTTCCCATTACAACAGAATCCTTGGCGGGACGCGTTATACCTCCTACGCCTAAAATTGTAGAGAAAAATGTATTACCGTTCCATAAACGGTAGGTAAGTATCAAGCAAGATAATGACCATTATAGCCCCACTCTAGATCTAGTTTCGGTTTAATTTTCAACCCTTAAGCCTTAAAAATTCACCCTTTCTACAGGGGAAAAGGTTTATGATACTTTTTTTGGTTTGTCAAAGCGTATCGGTAGTAGCAGTACTATTTCTAAATAAATTTGCAACTAATTAGACTAAATAGAGCGCGAGTTAAGATGAAAATTAAAGTACTTGTGTACAATTTTTGGGTGTTTTTCAAGATTTTGAAGGGGTAAGGGTGACATTTTTCAATTTTGGCCCAACAGAGTACCTTTTAGCTACGGTTGGAAAAGGGGTACAGTTTTATCACGACATTGAGATTTTTCATTACCTATAGGTACCTAACCGCTTAGTAAATAATATGAGGCATGACGTTGTTGTCTTAACAAAATATTATACTGTGCTGTGCGACTGTGGGTATAATTCGGTATAACTCGGTACTACATTAGATATGCAAAATGTCACTGTAGGTGTCGTGTTCCGGGGTCAGAAAAGTCGCGATTCGAATAAAAAAAAAATAGGTGTCTATATAAACAGTTTCATTTGACCGTAGTACAAAGCGTGAAACAACACCGTAGACCATATTATTATTGTTACTATTATTATTACATTGACCGTAACCGCATAGTATTGTGTTGTAGCCGTTATGCAGCAGTCATTCATACTGGAAACACATTTTGATGGATAAACAAAAACTGTGAAACATATTTTGGACATTAAGGATTTATGTTGCGCCAAATTTCCACTCCTAGAACCGCAAACTATAGGGAAGCGGTGGAGGGGGGGGGGAGACTTACCAAAAGAGGTGATTTTTTAAAAAAAAAATTTTCGGTAGCCCAAAACCGAATTCCTCACTAAGCGTGACCGTTTTATGGTTTTCGAAAAGTTTGACCGTGGGAATCAATTACGGGTTTGTAATTTGTATACATCATCATCGTCGTCGTCGTCATCGCATATCTATCAATGACCACAAAACATCACCTGTCCCCCCGACCGTCCCCTCGTGCACGTTACAACATTAAAAAAGTACAACACACGGTATATAGTTTTAATTAATTTTCCGTAGGCATACACTTGCACTGCGCTGTTATACCTATAACGTTTTTTTTTTTTTTTTGGTGGGAGGGGGAGGGAATAACACTGAAATTCACACGGTTAAAAGCGTGCACGCATCGTTGGCTATTTATTATTGTGGAGGAAAAAAAAGTACATACACATTATTGTATAATATTACTATATAAACGACGCATGTGACGTTGTCCAGCGAAATAAAAAGGCAACAGGTGGCGCATAAATAACGGGCAAAAGGTTAATGTGCATTGTCCGTGAAACTATACCTATATACATAATATGTACCTAGGTATAATGTGAACGCATTTGCATTAAACCAACATTTTGATGTATATATATACATATATAGCAAAGCGTTAATTTATCATTTTTCGATTGCTGTTCCACACAACGATCGCGCCCCGTTGATAGTATTATTATTCGAAATCATATTTTTAATTACTCGACAGCTTAAAGTATAGGTAGTAGGTATAGAGCCACAGTTAGAAATTAGAAATAACCGTTTTTTACATACAATTTTACTTGAAAAAATATATAAAAAAATTGTTTAATTCTCGCGCCACTTTACTTATTTAAATTTGTCGACACCAATTTTTCAAATTTATTTTTAACCAACAACAAGAGTTATTTAATTGTGCTAATTTGACAGCTTTTCTTAAACAAACAAGTAACTTAGATCTTTTTATAAATACAATTAATAATTCATAAACGCCAAACGGGATTGCGTGCAACAGAATGACATGCAAACCAAAACTACTTTACCAATACTTTATTGTGACTTTTAAACAATTGCCTATAAATAAAAAAACATAAATCATCAATAGGAACTTTTGTACACAATGCTAGTACCGATAAACCAAAAACAAATATCATAAATCCTCTCCTCTAAAAAAGGGGTGGAATTTTTTTTTATCTTTATTTCGGTTTTTTTTCAGGTGAAGATTTTAGGGCTTAAGGTAATTTGAAAATTGCACCGAAACTATACCGCCTAGAGTGGGGCTGTAACAAATAACATAATAGAGAGTTGAACGCAGCAACAGATACAATAACAATAATATGTTGTCTCATTGTTTTTGGACAATTATACAAATTACACAATTGACAACAATAATGATTTTAGAACGACGACCAAATTACATTACATACATTTGTTTTCACTGAATCTGATTTTGGTCTCAGAGTTTCCACAGCGCGTCCAATTACTGTTTTAATCGCCTCGAAAATTGTAAAAGAAAAAAAGAACACCGTTTTGTGGTATTTTGTACGTTTGAACAAACTTTTTTTCAACAAGAGTTGTTTATTCTA